ATTGTACAAAAGCATATTTCTATAATCGGAAGCTAATTGGAAATTTATTGAACGGTATTTAATTGTTGGATACATGTTAAATGTTATCATATAGTTCATTTAGATTAGACAGAATAATTACTAAAAGTCAAATTGGATCGTTGTGCCGCACCTTACCCTGTATAATAAGTATCCTTAAAGTACTCTAGATATGAATTTTTGCAATATTTATTGAGAAAATTCTGTTGAACTAAATCGACGATGGAAACTATATACATTTAAGATAGTTTAAGTGTGCAAGGATTTCGTTTTGTTGCCTAAATAGTGGAATAAAGTTGTAAAATATATTCCTTATGATGTTCCCTTGGTGTTGCTGAATAAAAAAGCTATAATAGAATTAAAAAAGGAATGATGAATATGTAGTGCAATTAGTACGACGCTTATCGTTAGTGCCACCAGCGCGGCCGGTAATCCAATGATCGATGTCTAATAGTCCAGACTGCGCAATATACTTTCATCGCCGTACTTTCCATTGTCCGGCATACAAGGACTTTATTCACGAGAAGAATTTTTTAGTTTTTATTTTTTATAAATATATTACAAATAGTTTTGATAAAAAATCAGTAAAGTTAGGAATTTTTTAACAACAATATTTAAAAGTGGAGAGAAGAATATTTGAAAATCCATAACATAAGCTTTTCCTCTTGTTGTAAGTTTTTGAAGTCGTGGCACTGTTGCTTACTTTATGAGATCTTAATATAATTTTTAAGTATATGTTATTTATTTGTTCTATTATACAAAAGATAAATCAAGTAAATAACTATTCCAACTCTGCTGATGAATATTTTTGACGAAATACCAGATCAAGGTTAATTACAGTGTTATTTCTGCAAAAAAAATATATTTTGCATTGAAGCTTTCATTTTGTAAAATCCTTTTAAAATTAAAATAAGACATTGGACATGTTTTTCTTCTGGCCGTCTCAATTTACCTAGCCTATGGGGTAAAAAGGACCAGGTTACAAATGTTTGAAAAACAATATAAAACACATTTCCACAATGATAAATTAGCAAAGAGTTAATTTTGAATGAGACTAAATTTAGAAAAAGTATGTGTATGTGTGTTTGTTAGCCGATCTTTGACCTTTCTTCGTCGTTTTCTCATAAAAGGCTGAATCAATTTCAGAAATTCAAAAGCCATTCAATGTAATTCGATAATTTTATCAAAATAGTATTTTTATTCTAAAATGTCTGTTTTAGCTGATTTTTGGTAGTTTTTTAAAAACATTTTTTTTTCTAAAAATATAAATATTATTAACTTCCCGTAGGGCAAATTATAGTAATCGCAAAAAAATTGAAAATGAAAATTTTTATATATCTTTACGTTTCAAAGGTTTTTTTAATATTTTGGCATACCTTAGAAAAAATGGATGTGTGTGTGTGTGCGTGTGTGTGTGTGCGAATACAAATTTTCGTCGACGATTTCGAGAACACCGATCAACCGATTTGAATAATTTAAAAAACATTCGATTCGTATTGATAAGGAGACGTGCTGATTAGTTTTTGGCTAAGGCAGGTCTAGCCATTCCAAAGATACGAGGCAAAAAGTGCCTCAGTTTTTAAGAGAATGGAACGTCCGATTTCAATAATTCATAAAACATTATACTTCTATTGACGAAATGAACAACCGGTAAAATTTTTGGAAAGGCAGGTCTAGAACTGCAGGTTATGAACTCTCAATAAAAAGAAGTTAAAAAAATGTCATTTGGCGGTCAAAAATGTTTATTGGGCTGTGGACATATGTACATCAAATTATCAGATATTTTATAGAGATTTTAATATTGTGTGCACATTTTGTGTATTTTCTTTTTGGGTTCCGTACCAAGATATTTAATTTTGAAGTTTATTTATATGATTCAAACAAATGTCCTCGACATTTTCGACAGTATGGAATAACCGATTTGTATAATTAAAAAATCATTCGGTTCGTACTCGATCGCGAGGCGTTTTTGCAAAAGACAATTTTGCCGTTTCAGATGTATGGAGCGCAGAGGGGGTAAAAACGGTTAAGCAGTTTTTGAGAGAACGGATTATCCGATTGGATTAATTCAAAAAACATTTTGCTTGAGTAGATGGTGTGCAAAAATGCATTTACAGAAAAATTAATAATTTTGAAAATTTACAAAAAAAAAAATCAAAATTTTCAAAAAAATTCAAAGTTTCAAACAAATAACATTTTCAAAATTTTTCATCAATTTTTTTAAAAAAAAATAAGTGTTAAAAAATTAAAAAAAAAACAAAAATTTACAAAAATTTTAGAATATTTCGAAAACTAAAAAAAAACGAACATTTTCAAAAATTTCCAAATTTTCAAAATATTTAAATAAACGTTTATTTAAATTGCAAAAAAAATTAAACTTCGAAAAAATTCAGAATTTGGAAAAAAATCTAAATTATCAAAAAAATCAAATTTAAAAAAATGGACTCTTGTAAACGTACACATAAGTTGTTTATAAAATACGCTCATCGCCCAATTTAAAAAGCACTTATAAATTTACAGTATGTATTTATGATAAGTAATCTATATGAAATTTTTTAAAATAATTATTGATTATTTTCATTCCTCGAAAGTTTAATTATGGTACGGGAAGTTCCAGCAATTTGCCTTAAGGCACGATGCCATGCGCCCCACTAGTTTTAAAAATTCACTTTAAATCTGTCTGTGAATTACCATATAATTGTTTTCTGAATACGCGCAGCTTCTATGAGTATGCGCTGAAACATTATTTTAACTAAAAACAGCGAATAAATTTATCAGTTTCAAATTTTGCAAAAAATCTATAAATATTTTTTCTTATAAATAAATAATTTTTAATGTATTAGCAGTCTCATCAAATATAATATATTCAAATTTATACCGAAGCGATAAAGTTTGTTACAAACAAGTTCTATACCAATAAGAATTTGTAGTGAACAAACATTAATAACCTGCAATGAGAAAATTACGTTTTACAAATAATATCTAAAGCAACATTTTATTAAGATAGAATATATCTTATATTTTTCGATCTATATGTTTTTTCGCTTTTAAGCTTTCATTAAAATTTTGTTCAATTTTCTTCATAATTAACTTGGAAAACTTAGCACTTGTTTGTTTGTTTTCATATTTTTTCCTAATTTTTGTGAAATTGAAAATAAAAGTTTAAATTTAATAATGTGAGAGCTTCCGCTTTTGGAATTTTGTATTCGGCAATTTTCTCATCTACAAAACGTATTGATTCATTTAAGTATATTTGCTGTGTATTTTCATTATCAAGTAATTTTGAATATTGAATTTAAACCTATACTTTTCGAAAATCCGGGACAATCCGAGACAAAAGATCTAAATCCGAGACATTTGTGCTATCTGGGACTGTCCCGGCTACATTCCGATATTGATTATTGTAAGAATAATCAATGCAATTTCCAATCGATATTTTTGAAATAAACTTATACCTGTATTGTATTGATTATAGTGAACAAACTCGTGCTTAACTTATCTTATATCCTAAATGAGCGGTCTATTATTTTAAACATTAATAAATTTTCATATTAAAACTATTTTTGTAGGACAATAATATTTTAAACTGTTTAAAGTTTAAACTAACTAAGCATCGCCAATTGGAAAAATTAGAGATATATGATGCCAATTTAATTTATGTGATTTCATAGATTTTTCCGAAAATAAGTATTATTTTTACTTCAAATATGTTTAACATCTACATTATTATATAATTTAATTTTTGCATTTTGTTTTGAATTGTTAATAAAACTCAAACTTAATTCTGTTGAACAAATACTAGCTATTTTATAGAATACATAGAAAACGAGGAGCAGTAG